TTAAAATGTTCTTTACACAATGACCTTTTTATAACAAATGTTCTCAAACATGAAATAAAAGTAAATACAACATTTCAAATAAAGGCAAGAACCTGCTTCCAATGTTTTTAACATCTCTTTTAGGTATCAGGTTGAGTGCGTATATTAGCCCCATTAGCATTCACAGGCTCTTGTCGCATCCGAGATCTGAAGGACTTCTGTTCCTTCAATCACTATTGAACCTCATTGCTAACATCCACTTCACCATCATGGAATAAGTATAATAGAAAATAAATTTCAGTGTTTTTGGTGCAATCAGATTTTGCACCGAAACATTGCATTGTGTTTCAGGTTAACAGAAGTTACAGTATGATTTAAGCATCGTCTTTACTTACTTAAGTTTTCCTTGAAGAGATCCTCCTTTTCACGAAGACACACCACCAAGCAGCACCAGATATCAACCTCTTTTATTCTTTCCACCGAATCATCCTTAAAAGAAGAACATTTTAATGTTGAGAAAGAAAAAACAAAGTCTTGTTTGCAAAAACTGAACATGCAGAACATTGTCAGTTGCTGTTCATATTTATTTTTAAATTAGTTTTTATCAAATGTAACGTTAATTCTAAAAAGAAAAAAATATATATGTATATATATATATATACATACTGTATTGCAAATAATGAACTTTGACTGCAACTGTGAAACAAAGGATACAGGGGGATACAAACAGCTAGCTAATCAGTATGCTATGCATGCTACAGTAGCTTAAAACTGTAGCTAATGACTACTTACAGCTTATGTTACACTGTATATGCAGTAAGCAGCTGTTGCAAATTAAGCTGAACAAAATGGCTACTTACCAGGTAACTTGATAAATTATTAGGTTAAAATCCTATTGTTCCACTGCTACCAAGTGTTCCGCTTCCAGGATGAATGCAGATTGCTCCAACTCGACATGCGGTCTAGCAAAGTCCGGGCGTGTGTTCAGTTTTGAAACTATACTGTTGAAACTCAATAGATATGAGTTAATCTAACTTAAATCCCTATAGTTGAGTGAACGCAGAAATATTTTTTCAAAATCATTACATTTGTAAGTAACATTTTTTTTGTTCTTTTTCAGTTTGACCGATTTATTAAAATTAGTTGTAAACTAACTAAAATAAGTTGAGGTAAAAAACTAAATGTTCCATTGTGAAAAAGTATTTTTTATAAGTGGAAACTACTAGCCCCATGAATTGTTTTTTAGAGTTTACGACCATGGCACAACAATATGTCGTTTAAAGATTTAATGGAATTTCAGGAGGCATTGGATGTTGAGGACTGATGGATGTGAGCTGAAAGAGGAGGAGGGATGTCGTCTGGTACGGAGGATGTTCAGGCAGAGCGAGACTCAGTGTGGGGGTTCAATCTCAGGCGTGTTTTTGCCATATCTGAACACAAGGCCTGATATGATGTGTGGAATGAGATGTGGGAGAGGTGCACTATATCAAATGGGAAGGAATGAGGGGAAAAGGTAAGAGAGGATGAAGGGATGTGGGCATGAAGTAGGAAGGTTAAATGGAAAAGATGAGGGTGGCTTGAGAATTAGTCAAACGAGGCCAATTGTGTTGACTGGGTATAAGTGGGCTATGCAGGTGATCAGAGGTGTAGTTGAGTTGGGCCCCACACTCAAATTAATTAATTTGTCCCATGTACCAGACGGAAAATATAGGTCTGGAAGAGCTAAATTGTTATTCATTATGTAAAACACCAAGCTCAAACCAGGGGAAGCCACTCACATTAATCAGCACAACTATGTGTGTCAGACTTGAGAGCTTAATTAACTCTGCAAAGAAGAGGTGTCTGCCTCACGACTACTTAACACATTTCAATGAAATTCCCTCTGGAGGATATAATGGTTCAAAATAGAACGTGTTATTTTTTTGTGTGAAATGATTTTGAGTGGCTTTAACTCCTTGGTCATGAGCAGGTATTCGCAAATATATTTTTGTGGGTCTGTTGCTCCAACCTGACAAAATGGGAAACCCAACCCTTAGGTTTCATCAATCAGCATATAGTGATTTACTAACCAGAAGCCAATGTTAAATTATAAAGATAAGTACAATCTAAAAACTGCAAGCTGCTAGGGTTAGTTAAGAACAAATTATTCCAATGGCCAAAGTACTTGACAAAATTATGCAAATGTTGTTCTTGTGCTTTGGTTAAACATGTGCTGTTGATCTGGCCTTGAGCATGTCCTTGTTCATGAGTCAGACTTCTTTAACTATTCATGGTTGTACAGAGCAGGGCTGGATGTGTTTTTAGAAAGATCTGCAGTAATGTGAATCTTTATCTATATTTAATATAGATCTACACATTCTCTTATTTTAAATAAAGTACTAAGAGCAGCCTTGCCAGTGTTTTTTGTTTAATGAAATGCAGCCCATTGCTATTACCTTTGAAGCTTCTGGATTCTTGCTTTTTATCTTTTGTTGCCCATAACCTGCCTGGCCCTCAGATGTGAAACATTGATGACCAATATTTATAGAGAAAATCCAGTCAGTATTTGATTACTTTACTTTATTTATTACAGCAGGACATGAATTACATAATACATCAAATGGCATATGGACTCTATTTATATAGCGCTTTATCCAGTCATTATGACCCCTCAAAGCGCAACTGCGTTGACTGCAACGGCTGGGATCTGACCCACAACCTTCCAATTGAAGGACAATCGCAGTATCTTGCAGCCACAGTTAGCCCTCAAGAAAATCTGATGATATGGTTATTGAACAATTCCAGTGTTGTATGGACCTACAGTAGTTCTTCAAGCATAAGACATTGCTGCAATCTTGTTATTATGCATCCTGCTGCAAAATAAAATAAAATACCACTGGCTTGTTAAGACCTGGCTTTTCCTGTATACATGTATGTGCTATGAAGATGCAAAGAGTGAACAGAAAAAAGAGTAAGCAATACAAACATTCTGTACTAATTAATAACGCTGTGAAACTTACGCAACAATAATTATTTGTGTTGTTGCTAATCTGTTCCTGAGAAGTGATGCTTCAGCTTAATGACCAATATTGATGTTGTTTTGCAGACTGCATTACGTTGTAATGTGATTCTACAGCATTGAATTACATCGTGCAGGTGTTTCTCTGCATTTTTCTTTCACAAATCAGAACAGGTGCAGAGGAACACCTGCACGGTGTAATTCGACCTTCACTCCGGCTGTATTCCTTTGGTACCAGGTCACTGCTTTTGTGCTGGCTGGCTCACAGACACAGTGTTTTGCACCTAAATGCAACAGTCTTCATTAACTTTATTGATTACACTTTTCCAGCAGGTGAATTTCCAAAGAGAGTGGCCCATTTATCTTTCTACGACAAACATGTAGGTGTGCTGTCAGAGTCTTGTTTACCAATGTAGATGCCCATTTATCTTAGCACAGCAAACTATCGTGAGAGAAGGATGAAAGTATTACTTTATTTAAAAATACCTTGCACTGGAGGCTGGCTTGAAAAGTGGGCACACACATGATTTTATATGACAGGATTATAGTTTTGGAAATGTCGTACGTTAACCGCCCCCTTGTAAACATAAAACGAACCAGCAAACAAACAAACTGTGGCTGCTAGGTGGAGAGAATTTGCTCTCACTATACCTCTCTGTTTATTATGTGCTTGAGAAAGAAAAAGAGAACAGGATGTTTCTTACTCCAGAGTAAGAAAAACAAATTGCACACCAAACATTGCTTGTCAGAAAACACCAACAGTTTGAGACAAAAATATTGTTTCCTTGGCTTATTGCCTCTCATGCAATCATAATTTGCACCAGCCTGTGAACTGTATTTGGAAGGAAATTGGGTAAATAAAAAAGAAGATGGATGTGATGTGGAGATGTTTTGACCTGTCAGTTGCATCAAATTGTTTCCAATTTATTTCCTCTTGTTTCCATAATATTGGAGCGCTGCTCTATGTACCTTTATGCTAAAATTGACCCGCATTTCTTTAGCCCTGAAACTTTAGGGTAATCCCCAAAAGCAGTCAAACAAATGTAATCATTCTGTGTCACTGACTTTGTTTCCAGATTTTGAAGTGGGTACAGAAAATCTGAGATGAGCTTTCCTAGATTCCACTTCACAAATACAGACTCCTTATCAACATACATCTTAAATATACTTCTCTAACCAAAAATTAGCACGGGAAATCAGAAACAAATTGTTAGGAAATATCATAAAACGTTACCAGACTTCGTGATACGTTTTGTTTAAATAACACAAAAGCATTTGAAGCAGTATTAAATAAACAACTCTTAGTTTAAACAGATGGCAAGTAAACACATAAAATATATATCAAATGTATAAATATAAAGCATGATCTTAACGTAGATCCTTTAAAAAAATAAATACATTTCTTTCATTTAAGCTGCCACACTGTCCGACCTCTGCACGACGATATAATAAGCTTGGTGTAAGCTTATACTGGTTTTCGTATATTTTTGTACATGTTTTTATAAGTGGTTGTCTCTCTGTGGTCATGGGCCATTTTGAATTATGATGCAAAATAAAGTTTCAGTGTCATACTTCCGTTAATTTAAACTTTCCATAAATGACATGGAAAAACTGTTATTTTAAAACATTCAGTGTCGAAGTATCCTAGTTTTCAAATTGCTATTAAGCGCCATTGTTTTTTTCCTCCACAGTGATGCCGGTCACACCATGAACCTGTGTGAGCTGCTTGCAGTCCAATGAAGCCAGTAATTTCCTCGGCCCGGGGAGTGTGGGTACGAAGTGCTCAGTCAGTGACACGGAGGCACGACTGCCAATATCTCTGAGGGAAGGACAGGAAATGACAGTGGCAATCACAAAAGAGAAAGATAGACAAGGTAGTTAAAGAATAGCTGAACACAATATAGAGGTACATTTTCCCTTCTTACCCGTAATGAATCTTTCGAGCTGTAAGGAGGCCCAGCCCTTCCACATGGAATATCACAGCTTTCAACACCTGTGTGAGTGGGTTTGTAAAGGAAATCTCCACTGCCATCTTCTCTCCTACCACCGCTTTCCCGATGGGCTGTGTGGGCAAACAACAAAGCAATCATATCAAATAAAACACGCTCTGGGGGGAAACTTTGGGGTTTGAGCCTTTGCAGACCATTCATATGCACAAAAACCTTTATAACACACAACAGGAAAGGGAAAACCCCAAGCATAATAGGGCCCCTTTAATAATTAGTTTGGGTTACCTTCAGGATGAGGTCTGGGGTCCTGAGCCGGAAATTGAACTGTGTGGCCATGACCTGCTGTGTTTCCTTGACCCTGCCGGTCAGCGTCAGCATCAGGGCGGCCTGGTCTACCAGTTGGTCCTTGTAGTCTTTATATTCCATGGTCCACTCCAAAGGTTTTTCTGCAGACAGAGGTTGTTGGCAAAGTATGTTTGAAGTTAATTTCCCGTCCTCTACCTTGCGTTATTATTTTTGTTTTAGAGCGTTGTATTGACTAACATTGTAAATACATATTTGTTGCTTTCTTTCTTCAAGTTAAATGGGAATTCCAATGCTCAGATCTGTCCAGTAAATATAAAGCTACAAACAGCCAGTTAGCTTAGCACAAAGACAGGAAGGCAACAGCTAGCATGGCTCTGTCTTAAGATAATAACATCCGTTTGTTGTATCTGAATGAAAACCAAAGTGTACAAAAACATTTATGTCTTATATTATTTCTTCAAGTGTAAATTACTTATATTTGGAGGTATATATTGAATCTTTGTGCTATGCTAAGCTAACCAGTTAACATGTTTTGTAGTAATACTTGTTGCTATTCTTTGCTGTTTTTTTATTGTAAAAAAAACCTGTGAACGCCTTTAGGAAACCCTGCGTGCCAAAATCGAAATGTTCTTCCTGCAACCAACCCTGACTAAACTTCACGCACCTTCATTGGGCATCAAGTCCAAGTCTGTCATGTCCTTTTTGACTGTTGCCTTGTGCACCCCGGTATAGTACATGACTGCCACCTGGCTGTGCAGGGTGAGCTTTCGTTCCTCTGAGCTGCTGTTTCGCAATATAATTTTAAGCTCTGCGTCTTCTCCCATTTTAGGACCTTCACCATCCATGGTGACTTCTATAGAGACATCCTGTGACTTGGTATAGGTATAGGCCTCCGCTTTGGAGCCATAGCTACATGCTGTCTCCACAGCAATACGTTCCATCTCTGTGCCTGAGAATGACCAAAGAATTCAATTAATTCAATAGACAATTAATGCAGTATTATAACCTTGGTGAAATTATTTTTGACAAAGGATTTGTATTCTTTACATTGAGTACTTCATCTCTTTTAAATAAGCTTTTTAGTGTGTGTATTTTGTTTGATGTTACCTTCGGGGTGTTTGTAAAAGTGTGTGATATCCATGCGTTCATCAGTTCCAACAGCCTTTGTGCTGATGAAGTGGCCCACAACCTTTTTCTCACTATAGATTTGACTGAAGGTCCCATCTGTGTTCTTCTGCCAGTAGATTTTATCGCTATTCACCTGAAAGCAGACAGAGCATGAGGAAAAGAGAGAGACAAAATAAAGCCTTGAACAGATGGGAAACGTCATGCAGCATTTTGATGTAATATGGCTTATGATAGCTACACATGCATAATCTGCACTGTTGGGCAAGTTACTTCCAAAATGTAATAAAGTACATGATTTATTACTGTCTTTTTTAAGTAATAAGTTACATTACAATATTACTGTCTCTGAATTGTAATGAGTTACACTACTTTTATATTACTTTTGAGTTACTTTACCAAAATAACCGCAAAAGAATGGCTAGGTATTTTAAATTTAGTGCAGCTCATTATACATCCAGTGAAGGGCGATGTGGTATAGCATAACAACTGTGTAGGCCATTAAGGCTAACACATTTTTTTACACGGCTTAGTTGAATACTCGATTCTGATTGTAAATTCTTAACATGTGACATGCTGTTAATACAGTAGTACAGGCCACTGTCAAGGACTATAATGAAGGTTGCTAAGGAGGATCAAGAAAGAGAAAGGAAAAGATGTTAAAAGCCCTGAGCCTGTTTTTCAGGTCTCAGGCTCGAAAATGACATTCCCGGAACAAATGACTATATCTTCACTTCTAAAATGGGTAAATTAATAATCTTTTTTCTCAAAGCAATGATAAACCTGTGAGTTGGAAGTAGAAAAGTCAGAATCAATATAGATTTTTTTTTTTTTTTTTAAGTAAATTCAGATTGAACATTGTAAAAAAGTGTAAATTATAGTGTCCGTCCGTTTATTGCCATTGAACACAACTTTTGATCAGAAAACAGCAAAGGTAAGAGTTATTTGCCGCTTTGGCTACGTAAAGTGGAATTGTGTATTGTGTTTGCTGGCTTTCGCTGCCGCGAGTTTTGGTCGCTTAGTGATGATACTTATACCATTGGAATCTGGGGAATCTCAGCTTTCAGATGATATCTTGTTTGTGCAGATCCGATGAAGTATAAAAGATCGCTAACGTGAGTTATGTGCTAAGTGCGTCAGCATTCTTTTGTTTAGTGCTAGTTCAGAGGCTCAACGTTAGACTTGTGTTTTGTTTCGGTAAAAATTGTTCATATCGTCAGGTAGCTGAGTTTCTTCCCGTTAAGTGGGTATGACATTCATAGTTTGTTAAATGTTAAGAAGCCCTCAGACGCTGTTTCTTGCAAGATGTTGCGGGAGCCCCCGCCCCCCATTTAATTTCGGGGTAAAATGTGTTGTAACTGCGTTACTGAGAATTGTAACAGGTAGTATTACCCAAATTTAATTAGTAATGCGTTACATTACTTCGTTACAGCAAAAAGTAATACATTACTGTAACTCCGTTACTTTTGTAACCCAACACTGATAATCTGTCAACATGAAACAACAACTGAAATTTCAGATGTTTAACCTACAGCACTCATGTAGGTTAAGTATGTTAAGGAAAACTATGGAAGTGCAGACAGAATATCAAGGGTGCTCCTCTAGAAATGAGTGGCATCTAGCTCTGCGGTTGCAGATTGTAGCCAACTAAATACCTCTTTAAATGGGTCGGTGAACCTACGATGGCCTTCAGGTAACGTAAAACACGAAAAGCCCTCTCTGAGGCCAGTGTTTGGTTCGTCTAAACTAAAACTAAACACGGTGCTGCAACATGAGAGACTCTGGAAAAGGGATCTACTATCTAGAGGTGAAGGGCTCATTTTAAGCCAATGAAAAACACACCTATTCTTAGTTCCAGGTGAATTAATACTAATGAACACATAATCAGGAATATAATATTTCCTATCTATTAATACATCCCCATTAATCCTGCACACTGCTCCCAAAGTAAAAAACATATTCCACAAACCTCAGCAAACACAAATGGGACGTCATGTTTCAGGAAGACCTGTCCATTGCGTACTGCAGTGAGAGCCGCCGGGCCGCAGCGGAAGGTGCCCTGGCTCGTCTCCTGAGGCGTGGCGTCCACAGCTTGCCAGCCTCCGTTGCCTGCAGGCAAGTCTGGACGCGCCATCCAGGCATCGTTCCACACATGGAAGTTCCTTCATAAAAATACTTAAAGGTCAGGCTTCATAAATCTACATTTGGGTAATTTTATAAAAATAACTTTTGTCGTATTTGTTGGAACTGGCACTCAGTTCATGAGACAGATCTTAGAAATAATCAGGTTCCTTTCTACCGTAGAGGGCGCTGCTCATGGACTCCTATCAAACTGTCAAAAAAGGCAGTGTTGATCAAATATTATGTAACTGCATTGCCTATGTTCTTGCCTAAAATGTTTAGCAATTTATGATTTGAAAGATAGCTGTAAAATAAGACATTTTGGTTAGAGCCCGTTGGCGGTGCCTAGTTTTCACTTGACTGTTTTCAACATGTGGAGTACAAACTTTCATTTACAGCTTCGCAGTACACTTTGTGGCAAACATTTAACAAGTAAGAAATAAACGATATAGAAACCTTGTTTTGATATTGGATCAGCAGTTTGCCATTTAGATCGGAGTTCATGACATTGAGAAACAGACTCATTGGTCCTGTTTGTTGATTTAATTTAACACAGTGGAATCTTACAATTACCATAAACATTTTTAGTAACATTGTGGAAGGGGGAATGACGTTTTTTTTTTTACAGATTATTTGTCACTTGCCATAGTGTCAGGATATCGTCTTAGCAAATATCACAAAAAATGACTTCTAAGAAAAGGTTACCAAGTGCTGGTTTAAACTACAGAGTGAAACCTGTCATGATGAGGCAGCATCACAGTGATGGTGACAGGACATACCAGATAGAGTCAGCATTGAGGAGCTCAATAGGATCCAGGTTCTCGTCCAGGTATACGTCTGTTGTCAAGGAGACGTCTGTGTCATGAGCTGAGCTGAAGTTGGTCACAGTTCGACCGGGAATGCCTAAACAGCGTAAGACTGAAAATATACAGCACCAGTCGTCAATATCTGTTTGAATCTCCCTGTTACACACATACACAAACACATGTCTCATGAAATTGTGATAGAAAAACTGTCCACTCACCTGTGGTGAATACTCCAGCAAAGACCCAGCACTGGCCATACTTAACAGGGTTTCCATTGTTTTTATGATATTCATTCAGGATTTCCACACTTCCACTCCAAACTGTTGGACTAGTCCCAGCCGAATAGTTTCCGGACCAGTCTCCTTCCACGACACCTAGGTCATCTGGGGAGTTGATCTGGATAAGTGAAATATTGGGTTGTTGTTTTTTTAAACCAAGTTTTCCATTTGGCAGGAACATGAACACAGTAACACTTCAGATTGTTTGGTACCACTTTACAATAAGACCAGGGTTTACGAATAGTTTGTAATTAATTAATTAATTAGGTTGTGAACACTTTATAAATCATGAATAAGCTTTTATAAGACATGACATAAACAGGGCAACTGTGACCGGTTGCTTGCCAAATAGTGAGCCCACATTTATCTGTACTACTAAGCCTTATATTGGCTACTTAGCTTACTTCGTTTTCTTCATCAGCCAGCATCCTTGGTATCTGTTGTTCACTGAGTTGATTCTCGCTAACTAAGTAGCTAATATAAGGCTTAGTCATCTTGCCAAATAGTGAGCCTGTGTTGATGTATGAAAACTATGTTAGAACTGGTTTATAAATGGTTCTTCGTGATTAATAAAGTGTTTAAAACCTAATTCATAACCTAATTATAAACCCTTTATGAATCCTTTATAAGGGTAGTCTTATTGTAAAGTGGTACCGATTGTTTTAATAAATTATCAGCTTAAACTTGGACACATTAACGTAATGATATATATATTTTTTACTTTCACATACATTTAAATGCCAATTGAAAGAAAAAAAATAATAATCTAATAATCTGCAATTGTTTTTAAAATAAATGTATCTTTTAAAGTAATTTTTCATGCAAAAAATATCAAACAATGTTGTTATCTGCCTCTCAAATATAACATTTAAAGAAATTGTTTTGTTGTCCAAATCCATAGCACAACTCTTGTCAATACATCAAATAGATGTTGAGACATTTCAGATGAAATCTGAAGTGTCAAATTGGAAAAGTCAGGCGATTGACAATCAATGGGATGTATCCTCTGGGGGTAACATGAATGCATTAGGCATTCAAAGATTTGTTCTTAACATTGCAGAAGACCTTTCTGTACAAACTGTCCGCATTGGTTAAAACAAATATTTAAATCTGGCTTAGGCCCTAGGATGCCGGTATCCTGCTAAAACCGTGATGTGATGTGTGGAAATTGTTATCATGGCCAAGACTTTTTTTCAATAAAGAGTAAACGCAGTCTCACCATGGCTGAGACCACTCGCACCACATTAATCGGGTCTCCCCACCCTGACGGAGGAGTTCCACTCTTTTCCAGGACAAAGATACAAGCAGCAAGAATCCCATCTTGGAACTGAAAGCGAAACAGAGAGCAATTAGGTTTCTACTGCTTAGTCTATTAACAAAGCACTTAAAGATCGAACAACCCCCTCACCTGTCCATAGTCCCAGGTCCGCACTCCAATTTGATCCATGGTGCCATAGTAGATTTTTCCGATATCATTCAGGACATATTCCTGCCTCTCGTCTTCAGCATCCATGAACACTGTGTCATCTGACAGTGAACAAGTACAAAGTATCAATAACTTTAGTTTTTTGTATACATCTCACAATTTTATATGATCTTTAAATGTAACTTAGAAATTTAAACTAGAACAAAAAGCACTTAGGAGAGTGCAGATCTACTGTAAGAGAGGCTTTTCTTTAGTCTAGCCATTTGCCAGCAGTCATTGACAGAACAAGAAAATAGAGACACCAACATGTAGTCATAAATGTGCAAAACAGAATTATTGGCAGACTGGTCCAGTAGTATTCACGATAATGTGTAGACAATCAGAGAGTAGACATTTCTTAAAAAATGAACACTGTTGTAGCCATATCAAGATCAAAAGCCCGACAGGGGAATTTATTGAGGCTGAATTTGTCCTATTATGTATTTCAGAGTAAATGGCATAAAAAACCCTTTTGTTCTTCTTGGTTGGGTTTTTTCCTAGAGGAATAGTTAGACATATTGGGAACGTAGAGGCATTTGCTTTCATATGAATAGTGAGATGAGAAGATTATTGTAAGGGCCTAGTCAGCATGTTGATGTTTTTGTTATTGTTCCTGTTTTCATTTTTGTTTCTCTCATTTCAGTCTCAGCTTTCCTGCCCTTGATTGAAACTCCACCTGCTTCCCATCTCTAATTAGCCTCACCTGTGCTCCATTATCATCTCTCCCTCTGTCTACTTAGTCTGCATCCACATTCCCGTCAGTGCCAGTTCGTCTTAGTTACCGTATTCCTAGCGTTCCAGCAGTGTTTTTCCTAGTATCTGATTCCACGTGTACCTGACCCAGCTTCGTGTCCTGACCCGGTCCCTGTCTACTCCTCGTCTGTTTTGGTAGCCTTATTGATTGATCTCCTGCGTTCCGAACCTTGGCTATAAAGACCTTTTTTGCATCCTAAGCCTCTGTTTCTGAGTCATGCTATTGAGTCCTCTACTTGTGTTCATTCAGCCGTTACAATTATGGTCCGTCTGTCTGTTAAATACACTGAAAAAACTGAAACGTTGACTTTAATTAAATGTATTATGGCAACATATTTCACATAACTGTATTAGGCTAGTTGAAAGCAATAATATTACATTTATATAGGTTCAACTTAATATTATTAACTATCCTATTAGCATAGCTTAGCTTAGTATAAAGACTTAAAGTGGGAAACAACTAGCCCAGCATTTCACAAAATCAACCAATAAGCACCTCTTAAACAAACTAAATAACATTTTATACCTTTACTTCATGGTTATATGACTGTATTGTAATGTCTTTCTGATAGTTTTAATACCCTTTGTAGTATATTAACCTGAAAAACATGTGTGTCTTAGATGCTTTATTTTTGTAATCCCATATTTACCTTCACACCAGGGGTTGAACAGCATAATGATGTCATTTGCAGGGTCATGTGTAGAAACTGCCTGGCCATTTGCACAATGCGTTTCCACTATGATTTGATATCGGCCAATGAGCGCCGTGGGGAGAGAATTCACAGACAGCTTCATCCTTTTGTCGTCCTGACTCACAATAGAAGCCTCCCAACGATTGCCCTCCAACTTCTCCACCAAAGGGATGATTACATGGGTTCCTTTTGACACTGTTGGCAGCGGCCCTGAGAAAGGAAAAGAAGACATGTCGATGCAGCATGTGGAAACTAGTGTTCTTGTCATGCCCCCAATCAATCTTAACCACACCTGCATTCCTACCTTGTTAGGTAAACAGAGTGTATATAAAGATTCCAGAAGAGCTTCATGATATATGCACGCACACATACACACACACATAAACGTTATAATAGCAGTGCAGCTGTACTACAAAAAGTTTTCCTTGGCAGCAGTTTGCTGTTTGGCTGCAGTTCCTGCACTGGCATGAACAATGCTAATGTTTAAAGCGGGGATCTGCATCCTGGGTTTTAAGAGAAACACTAAAATCTTTAATGGGCCCTGTGTTTTCTATGTTTAAGAAATTCACCTCTCCTGGGAAACTCACAATTCTCCCTGATTGTTATCTCTTTCCTCACTGGGTGTGGCTTTGGTCTTTTTTGGCTTACAGGTGTCTTATGTCACTATTATGCAATTTCAAGATTTATTTTGTACAGACTGACAAATGGTTGTGTGTGAAAATAGGAATCTGTAGCTGCCTGACAACCATTGTAAAACTGTGAATCACTGTGATATTTTTGTTGGCGCTTTTCTCCGCTTTGCTTTTTACATGTGCATAAGCAATATCAAAATAATAGCAACGTTTCCATGAACTTTATACTGAACACATCTCATTCCCTTGAGGGTGAACCCAAAGGATGTGTGAAGACCTGCAGATAGTTTTTCATAATTGAATGGAGGCTGTCTGCGCAGCAGGGGTGCAAAGGCATGGGTAACAACGCAGAGGGCTCCAACAGCCTGAATTCCTGCTTGAAGCAATATACTGAAGCAACTCTTGCATGGAGTTTGATGACAAGTTTGATGCCATTGTCAGATCTCAGCATATACTGTAAATATATGGCTACAGCAAGGACATAACTGCTCCGGACTTGAAATGGTCAGGCCCATTAGCACCCCGTTATTCACGCTCCCAGGGGGATGCATCTTTTGTTTCTACTGACATTAGGGCCTTTACCCTCTCAGGAACAACATAACATTCTCAGCCCTGCAACAGGAAAGTATTTAGGAACAGCTGTGTTCAATCTGCCCCACACTTTCATTTTGTGAGGTATTATAAAATTGAAGCCTCTCTTAGCCATTATGAGCGGCTTCAAGGCATTAAACTGTCACTGGCTCTCACTTCAATAAAGAAAGAAACACTCATGGGTACGTGGTACCTGTCACAGAATACAGTGATTGGACTACATGGTACTGCAGGCACGGTCGAACACCATTTGAACTGAGACACTACAGAGATAGCCTTTTCCCTTTGAAACAGTCTTTTTGTATTAAATAACCACCATGATGTTTTTATGTTTGCACATTTTGCATTGTCTTCTTTCATATTGCTGGTATGGCAGATGGCTTTAAACTGACTGGATGATTATTTATGAGCAGCGTTGTATTTCTTCTTATGACATGATAATTTGTCCCAGGCTGAAGACTTTTCCTTTTACCGCTGCTTCTAATGAAACAAAAATAACTGAGCATCTTTTACACGGCACTGTCATTTCTATTCTTGTATTTTATACCCATTTTATTCTCTTCGCTTTTTAAATGTTTTTTAAAATATAATTGTATAATGTGTTTCCACTGCACTCGATCTTATTGCTCTTAACATTTAGCATTTTTTAAAGCACTTTGAATTGCCTTGTGCTGAAAGGTGCTATTTAAACAGACTTGGCTTGACTTGCAACAACAGCTTGTAAAAAAACTTTGATACAAATTAGAATAAATAACTGCCATTATTTTTGGATACTTTATTAGCAAAAAAAGCTACCATTCTTTAAACCTTGCATGTTTCCTCAGTGTTAAGGAATGTACATGGGGTAAAATACGATTTCCTCTAATGGATTCACAGTCTCTGTAAATGAGACGGGGTAATTCTTCTCTGCAAGCTTCACTTGTGTTATATCTATAATTGTAGGATCTATATTGGTCTGCATCCTCTCAATATAAAGACATAGAGAGAGACAGCAGAGACAGAGGCAGTTGGTGTGCCAGCATCAATGGCAAATTGTCTGCAGACTGGATTTTTTAGTTAGAGCAAGACTGAGGACTCGGCATTCGTAAAAAAAACTCTCTCCCCCGGAGCATAGCAACTGTTACCATAGCAATAGTAACCAAAAAGCTCTCACTCCCTCTCACTCTCCCTCCTAATCTATCCATCTCACACACAAATGCTACACAATCTGAATACACACACAAGGAGCCAAATTACCGGTTTGAACCTCAAACTTCTTGCTTCATTTAGTTTCCTCCTGGAGCTCTAAAACCGTCACCATCCTCTTTACGCTTTGACTGCCTAAAGAGGGAGGTCTTAAATATCATGTGCAGCTCGGCAGAGGTTTCCACGAGGGTCAGGCTGGACTGCCTACATCCAGTTTCACACTTGGCCTTCCTAGATCAGAGGCCATTCATGTGGGAAATCTATATCTAGCAAATTAGTATTCATAACTGTTGCTGCATACTATGGAGATGGGGAATTCTATGTTTACATTTTCTTATTTCTATGTATAACCACAAAACAAAGGACACTTTATGGGTCATAAAAGTGAACAGTGTTCAAATCTCCGATTAGCAAACAGTACATGGTTTCTTTCTAGAACGCGGACTAACCTGTTTTAAGATCGAGGTGAAGTTTGTCAGTGCTGGGGTCAAAGGGTCGAGACAGAGTAATCCACATATGGAAATTCTGTCCTCTGCGAATAATAAAGGCGTCACTTTGGTAGAGGTCGGTGTGGTGCTGTGTGCGGTTCTCCCCTGATTTTCCTTTCATCAGGTCTATTGATTTCACATTGAGGAGGAGTTCTGCAAAACAAGAACAGTTATTTAAGAGTGGAGTCCATCTCACTGCTGGCATTTACTTTGTTTAATAAATAAGTTACCATCAAGCTCGCTGTCACCGGCAACAGGCTTCTTGTCGTCCGTCACTTCCGACGGGTAATCAGTTACTGTAATCAAAGTGTCTGTAATGTCGACGTCATTTCGCTGGGGACAGCAGCACGGGCAGATTTTACGCAGCCACGTCTGGCATGCATTTCCCTGCTCAGCATTGTCCTCCTCTGAGGCTTCCTTTTCTTCCTCTGTGTCCTCCCCAAATCCAAACGTGACAGTAGGAAACCGACCCACTGCAGACCGCTCTCTGATCGATCGCGTCGAGACAGGCATCCTGAGAAAAAGGTAAAACACAATGAGGAAATCTAAAGCTTTGTCATTGAATATGCATCCATTTAATTAAAGACAACACCACATATAAGTGAAGATCTTAAGGTATTTTTCTTTAAAAGGGGTAACCACTTACTACTCCTTGTATTTTTGACAGGTTACAGATATGATAGATTATTAGATATAAGGGTTTTGTTTGTTATCCAATCTGGATTTCTTCTTGTATTTATCAAATTGGTGATTTATTGTGGGGGGGTTTTCTAGTATACATTAGCAAGTGCAGTAATACCCCTAAGTACCCCAGGTTGGGAATCTTTGATCTTTTTAGAGACACAGAAAATATATATTTGTATTCAAGTATTGTGACAGTGCATATTAATATCCTTCATCTGTTCATTTAACTAAAAGGTATTGATACAAATAAATACGTAAAAATGAAATGACTGGTCTGACATGTTAATTATGTAACCCATAAGAAGCTGATCATTGCTGATTTGAATGATAAAGATTACTTGTTCAGTACGAACAACACATAAATAGTCATTTATCCACTATTTTTGCTGCTAAACAGAGAACAAATCATACAATTATGCTTATTTGTTTATTTGATCTGCGTACACACAGATAATAATCCGTAATGGCCTTAGACAGAAAGGCTTCTTTCTCTCAGGGTTAATCCTGAGCTGATTCACTGATGCTTAATATTACATGATCTGATTTATTAAATTAGTGAAAGCCTCCTGGGGGTGAGAATGTGCTTTGATCCACAACTGTGCCATTAAACAAATGTAATTTCTGTGTTTAACGATCAAAACACTATGCCTTGCCACCAAAGATAACAGTCACATTTCTTTGAAGAATCTGCACATGAATTCTGCTAAACTTCACGGCACGGTGATTCAAATCTAACCTATTTCCATCTTACTTTCTCCCTCCACCCATTTTCCTGAGCCTTAGCTCACTTCCCTCTGATTTTACTTTCTAGCAGAAATGATAGCTTCAAGAAAAAGCTACAAAGCCACTGAAACCTTTCAAAAACTCACTTTAGATTCCCTGGCTTGGCAACAGTGATTGTTATGTGGTGACCAAACAGACTCCGATGAAGCAATAGTGGGACTGTCAATGACTTCACTCTTTATTCTTATTCCAATGAAGTTAAGACAAAACACTAAATCCCAGACAGACTTTCAGGTGTGGGAGCGCCTCCGCCTCCTGCAGCTCAGGATAGTGCGTCATATTTACAGACGAGCCCAGAAGAAGAAGTAAATCCATGAAAACCTGATAAACAGGCCAACTACATTGTGTGTTCGTTCGCATGTTTCAGCTTTGGGTAGTTTCTTCTTTCAGAGTAGCACAATGTTACATTTCACATTGTTGATTTTGCTATCATGGATTTTAAAAACTCTTCAAACTGTGAGCAAAACTAAAGTCCATGTGGACCAAACTGTGAATTATTTTTTAACTGCTTTCACACAAATCACATTTTCACACAAAACACAATTTTCGTAAAACCATGAACTCTTTCCCAATTCATACTTAACATTGCAAAAGGCTATATATTTGCAGCACATTTTCCAAGTGATCACACACGTTGCCAAACACGTTTAAATCTGAAATTGGCGTGAATCATATCGGAACAATAAAACGTCTAATTATATTGTAATTACAACAACATTTACTGCAGTAATACTGAATCATAGTAATCAATCACAGCTAATTTTAGGTTATTCTGGAAGTTAAGGTGTGGCCAAATGCAGGAAAGAGGGAGGACCGAAAACTTAAAGAACTGTAATGTGTAAGGCAATACTAAACATGTCATCATTGTTTAGTATGCCAATGTCAACATACTGTATATTCCGTTAGTTAAACACAGTTTGATAACTCCAAATTGCATTCAATAAAGCAGATGGGACAGGGACTTTTATACTCTCATCCGCAAGTCTCCACATAGATTTTGGAAACCTCAGTGGGTGGGTGAAAGTTTACTGCAGGGTGGGCCCTCCCAAACTGCTTTAGTAAATGACGATGAAATCCACCGCAGATCCTGCCTCAGTGCCAAAAGATATAATGTGGGTAGAGGAGGAAGAATGTGTGGAATTGAGGTCCATACAGTATGTTTGAGTTTACACTTAGATTGCAAAAACAGAGACACACCCACGCAGATCAACAAAACCTTCTCACTGCATCCAATAATGGGATAAATTAACTATGAAAATGTTTGCAATGCACTGTAAACTAACAAAGTGAGACGAGGAGATACAACTCTCACCAAGCTGCGCAGAAATTAGAGCGACATGTTGTGGACGATAACACGACCGACAGCTGAACCTGCTAATGATATGAGATTTATCGCTTCATCATCCTACGTACATTCAAACTACTCCGAGACGACTTCCCTCTGGGCCTGGCATATGTTTGGGTGCCTGCATGTGCAGATGGGGAAATTCTGATCAAATGTTAAATAAAGTAGGTCTTAGGTCACTCTCATGATTTTAGCAGCAGAAAATACCAATGTGCTATTCATCGCTGGTTAACAATTTCCTCCAGGAGGGTGGTGATCCAGTAAGCATCCCTCTGCTACACTCATGACCTGATGCAACAGGGCCTTGGGGGTCAGTCATTTCCAACCAAAACAAGAAACACAAAGGGACCTTCTTGTGTGACGTCAGAATAAAAGCATTCACAGAGTTCAATTTGAACACAAACCCAGTTGTATTTGAAACGAAGCCAAGTTGATGTGATGTATTCCTTTACACATTAGTCTACTGTTGCTTTAAGCATGCTTTGCTTTACATGATTAGACATGAACCACAGATTTGTGGCAGATGTTTGACAGCTCTATGTTGCAGGGCGTCACAGCAGATATAATATATTGTATATGTATGTGAGGAAAAGCAACCCTTCCAGATACAAAGTGCAAAATAAATGAATAATATTTATAATATCCAAAATCCAAATCCAAAATCCATTCAGGAAAACAGATGAACATTAAAACACAGTCTTTTAAATCATGCATGAGATGGCACTCTTTTAGACTATCGTTTGCATAATCTAGACAGCTAAGACGTAATAATAATGCACATTTTGTTATGACCTGTCTCCTTTTCTTGATATAAAAGCACATTATTTTGGCATTGTATCTGAGAGTAGACTGCTCAGGAGAAAAGTTTGAAAGTAAGTTATCGTTAACAACATAAAGTCATAAATCAAAGACCAGATGGCTGTACCTGTATATAGAGAGAGATACCTGTGAAACAGCTGGTTCAAACTCACTCAGTTCAGAGGCAGATGAAATTAGACAAAGCAGACTGGAGGAGGAAATCTTCTGTGCGCCGTGTCTTTGTGTTTGAAAGACTACAAGTTCAGACGGTTCAGACCTCCTTTAAGTAGTGCTATAGAGAGTGAGGGCACGCCTTCCTGCAGCACCAACAGCAGTCAGATATTTTGCCAAAAGAAACAACTGAAACTGTTACAGCTACAAGAGAGAGAGAGAGAGAGAGAGAGTAAAGAGCCGCCTCTTTTGAAATGTAAGTCAAAACGCATTCTAGTTAATATTAGCACTTTTCCATAATCTGGTTAACAGTTTCTACTTGGGCTTGTGTATTAATGTTGGTAAGGGCACTCAGGAAACTATGCTACCTATCAATGGCTATTCCTAATGATACATTTTTTCCGATATTATAATAACTATTTACTAATCCATACTAATAAATGACAATTTAATGGATATTACAATCAAATGCTCATAGCAGGATGGTCAATATCTTTTTTGTGTAGGCCTACTTTAAACATTTCAACAAATTGTGATTCCCTCCATTTTTCTTCTGCAAATAATAAAGGCAAACATTTACCTTGATCATGTGAGGGGGTTAGAAAAGTAAACCATTTATTATTATTAGCAATAGTTTTGGATGCAATCCTAATGAGGCGTGTACACCATTCTCATTTAGAATTTAAAGATGTATTCACTCATTTAGTAGTATCTGTAGGCCATACCAGACTATATTCAGGTAATTACAGTCACTTAGTTCAAAATTCGAAAAGGAGATTAAAAAAGAGGGTTGTATATATCTAAATATTAAATCTTATAATCGTTTTTCTTAGAAGAAATTTCACTCGTCATACAAGGAAGAGGAAAGAAAAAGTATGACTCAGATTTTTCATGAGTCAGCCAGCATGCACAATAGCAGGAATAAATGGAATTCAGCCATAATTGATATTCATCACACCTGCTTTTCATATTCCGATGGTTCCAAAATGCCTACAGTAACAAATGATCGTTTGCCCACTCACTGTGTGGGATGATCCACTCCTTGTTCTTAGCAAGGTATGACGCGGAGTGATGCAAGATGATGACTGAGTTATCCACACGGACTGGTTGAGTTGGTTTTGTCTGAGTTTCTCAACTTTGTGATTGTGCAACTCCGGCAGTGGCTCAGTCAGTAGGGGGCTTGGACTGGGAGCTGTAGGGTCGCCGGTTTAAGTCCCCAAACAGACGTGTTCCGTGCCAAGGCACCGGATATAATAATAATAATAATAAATAAAAGGAAGGACTTTAGACCTTCTACCAGAGACCTCACTGTACATATTTGACCTGTTTATTACTCTTAAAAAGCATACATTGATCACTTTTTAACTGTGACTCTTTGATGAGCATGCCTTTCTGTTGGTTGATCATTTACACTTTTACAGATATTCATGGTACGCAGAGGATAAAAGCCTACTGACTTTGGTGACCCAGTCATGTCCTTGTGTTCTAACTACAGAGTGGATTACCATGCAATTTGCTACAGACAGTCATGTTTAATCAGGATGAATAGTATTTTCTTTGATGATCCAGTTTTCCTTCTAGTTCCACCATGAGGTTGCAATAACTCTTAACATTCACCATGTTTTTTAAATAAATACTTGCACAATGAATGAATGAATGAATGAATGAAGTTGCGGTATTTTTCAAATTTGATCAAGTTTGCTTGTTTTGGTTCACACGCTCCCATAGGACAGTTTCTGCCTGAAGGGTCTGCTTAGGCAACCTATCGCATCAGAGTAAAAAAAACATCAATCGATACAGCAGATTAATCAAATGAACAAAGGTAAACAATTTTTTCACAACTCATGTGTGAATGGCTTGGGGGATAAAGGTGCATTCAGGAAGGTCTGTGGATCAGATATTACATTTTCTCTGATAACAGAAAATAATACAAAGAAGCTTTTTGGAAGGCAGTGACACAATGTGTGCAGATTTATTACTGGATCTGTGACTTACACTGTGCAACAGTATAGTGTCATATATTAAATGCTTTACCCAACCCTTCAAAAAATGTGTGTGAGAACTATGTGATGCGGTGATAATTAGTTACACGCATATTCTTCTTATATAACCATTTGTAAGCTTATATAAGCAATAAGCCAGCATTGCTTCATGCCAATCCATATAAACTCAATTTACTCCATGATGAGGGTTACAGCATGCATTGGTTCTGTTGTAATAAGGATATCCATACGCACGCACATAGAAAAGCAACATTGGTTAATACACACTTACCCAATCACTCACACTGACAGATCTAGACATATTGTTTGACGTGTTTGAACGGAAGTTTTTGAAGAGAGAGGCAAGTGAAGGCTCAATTAGAGGTTGTGAAATACTATTACATTACATGTTTGTCGACCTTACTCGTAATGTAAACGTCTTTGGGTCTAAAAGAGCGCTATATAAATCCCATTTATTATTATTACATTAGTTTTGAAAATAAGATCACAAAATTGCCTAAATGTGTGATTTAGATAAACAGATAGTTCAGAGATACAGTAGTTTAACTGTTTCCCCCCGTACCCAGAGTCAGAAACGAATACATGCTTTATGACCTTCTTATGTATTTGATGTAGTTTAAAATGTTTGTCCAACAGACATGTCGGGCTGTTTTGGCTCAATTGTTAAGTGTCTATTGGCTCAGATAACGTAATCATTATCTCCTATGCATGCAGGAATTTAGTGTAACTAAGGTGGGGTGAGGGGCTGCCTTTTTCCAAGCTTTGTCTAGACACAGTCTCAGACTTTGAAAACGTTTGTGTTAAAGGTTTCTGACTTCTGCCCAGAGGCATCAGGCTTCAGAGCCTCAGGGATCAGGATGATTGACAGTCTCCCGAAACGAGGGGAACAAACAGAGACATACGAAAAACACCCACTTTCTCTTTCTCAAACAAACACGGCAGAGACAGAGGGACATTTGAACGGCGGCGCTGATGGTGATGGCAGTGAGTCCTGCCCCCGTCTGATCAGAGCAGGAGGTCTGTGACTGAGGGCAGCAGCTCTGCCAGCTTCGACTCCACGTCGGCTGTCTGAGTTACAGGGTTGCCACGGAGATCAAGGCGCTTTAGCTTGGGGCAGGAGGCCAGCGGCTGAAGATCTGACAATGAAGAGATTTCTGTGCATGTGGGTTAAAGAAAAAGCATTCCTGTGGGCTGCAGTGACAAGAAGGTGAAAGGGCGTACATTTTCCAAACACTGAGATCCACATGTCAAATATGACACTGGGATATTAATGAATTATTCTAAATATAAAACTTGGAGGCCTACATTTGCATCAGAAGGTAGGCACTGAAAGGGTTACAAAACCAGATCTTGAGTGTAGCCTCCGTGTCACAACCTGTATACTGCATTAATTCCTCTCGAGTGTATCAGGGGAAGTGAAGCGTGAAGGAGAAGAAGGTGAGGATGTGCTGCTAATGTGTCTCTCCCCGTTGATGATGATGCCGTAAGCTCTGTGAAATGATTGCACTGATTTTATTTATCCGATCGCCTAAAAAGATTCCATGTGAAAACAAATTATTCATGCATTGAAACGGAAGAGCCTGCAATTTTCTGAACTTAGGAAACTCCATCCTTGAGTGTAGTGTTTTACGTGGCACTATTCACACAACCTCAGCTGCTCGCACTCTCTACCAAGCTGTTTCTCAGCTAAGAGCCGTGCACTGAGTCAAGTGCACACTATGAGGGGAGTATCATAAATATTATTAGATATATATGGGAGGCTGTGTCTCAGTGGGCTAATGCATTGATCTTCGGATCAGGGGAGCACTGAACCCATAAACATTCAAATTATTTATCTATATATCATGATCCATTTACTTGTGCAATATAGACTCTTCTTGCACTATTTTATTTGTTTTATGTCCTGTATATATTCATGTTGCTTTGTTGGGGGAGCCTGTAACTTAAGTTTTTCATTGCTATATCTACACTGTAGCTACTGTGCACATGACAATGAAGCCTTGAATCACTGATTCAATGCCCACTGCAGTCAGCATGGCGTTGTGTCCTTGGGCAAGACCCTTCACCCCCCTCCTGTGGGGATTGCCCACAGTATTGAGTGCATGTGCAGTAAGTCACTTTGGGTGCAGGTGTCTAACAAGTAACATGTATTGTACAGCGATATATTATATCGCTGTACATTACATCTTACTTCTTATAATATAAATGTATCTCTATGACAGTTATTCTACAGGAATAACTCCGATATAGAACAGGATGTTTTCCAGGTAAGATTTAAGGATACTGTTATTCTTCAAGATGACTTCCTCCAGCTTGGGAAGATGATAAACTCCTTCCAGATTCTCTATAGAGTTATTTTCAGCCTCCAAGACCTGAAAGCAAGAACATTTGAGTGAAATATGCTGCAGAATTTAAGTTCTCAGTATGTATCTTTTCAACTGTCAAATAACAATTGTGGGACACACAAAAGACACACTGCCCGTCTTGGACATATAATAGGTTTTGAATTGGAGCTTTGTCACCTCCAAGCACTGCAACATGGCGAACTGAGGAGGCAGCCGCTGCAACTGATTGGAGGACAGATTGATGTGGGTAACCAATAACAGCTGGTCCAGGTGGCACAAAGTGGTCAGATTCTGTTCGAAACAAAAAGGGAAAAAAATGACAAATTATAAGCACTTCACTATTGGCTCATTTTAATTGACTTTTTCACAATTCATCACTAACCTTGTCAGAAATACTGAAGACGCGCACTTCAGCATATTCCATTTTCAGGATGGTGTTTTCAATCATAAACTTGCTGCACAGGTCGCTGTAATATGCAGAGCGCATGGAATCCACTTCCTGAAGAACAAAAAAAAACACTCTAGGTTCATCCCAATACCACTCATCGACTCTTCTCTCCCCCTCCTCCGGGACTTGAACCGGAAATCGATCAAGACACGCCATGTTGAAGGACGTCCCAACTGCTGAAATGCACACGGAGGAGTCGAGGAGGGAGGAGGCTTCCAGAGGAGACGAAAGGGAGGATACACGAGAGCAGACTACGCGGAGGTGTTTTCACTACTCGCGTATACAAGCCTCGCCCCCACCTTCACAGCCTCTGCTCACTGCAGCTGATCTTACCGTTAAAGGAGGATCAGAGTTAAATGTTTAAAGTGCTTCATTAAGAGTAAAATATATTAAATCTCTTAAACGAATGAGGAGATCATACTCTATAAAAAACATTAAAGTGTGTGTAACATACTTACAAATTCAATAATAATGTTTTGATTATAAAATACTAACCTTCAGTTCTTACTTGTGGTTTTTGATGCATGTGTGGTAGACCCACAGCACGTCAAACATTTAGGATATATACAAATTGGGTGGTATATCTAATACATATTTTATTGATTTGTGTCTCACTTCTGTAGGACAGATTAAATATAAACATCTAATACAAAAGTTGATCTGAAACAAGCTCAAATACCATAATGAAATGAATCCATCAATTATTATTATTGTTATAATGATATCGCGTCTTACGGAGGCGGAGCTAAGGAAGGGAGGGACGCGAGGTTGCGCTAGACTTTTTCGCTGCCCGTCATTTTGACGGACAGGATCGTAAAACTTCCGTCAAAATCCAGAATTACCCGTCGGCCTTTACACAACTCTGACGAGGTGGGGGGGAGAAGCATGCTCGTGAACTGTCAACGGGGGGGACAGTTCACATGCGCAGTGTTATGCATGGCTGCTGCACCTCGCGGGAGCGTGTACAGCGTAAAGCCAAAACTCACAGACATTTCAATGATTTGTACGGCAAATTTAGGTTTGGAAACGGTATAATTTCCTTTTTGGAGGGCATGCATTACACCGGAGCCTCGCTACGGGGAAACTTTGGCGCTGTTCCTAGTTTGTTCTAATCTGTCAAAATGACGGACTGCTTTCAGATTTGTCCGTCATTGTTAAAAAAAATCCGTCATAGACGGAAAATATTCGGTTAACGCGACCTCAGGACGCGAGTGAGCGAAAGGAGGAGGTGAAATATTCAATTGAGATGAGCCTAATCAGTCTGTGACCTATTTTCTGTTGAGTGTCATTGATTGGTACTCACTTTCAGAGTTTGGAAATGAGCCAGTGTCTCCTTCTCATATCCCAGAGGATCGAGCGCCCTCATCAGGAGGATAATGGTCAACAAGCACCCTGCCAAGGCAAGCAGAGGGTTTCAAGGCTCGAGAAAACATCACTATCAGCAAACCTCAGTATGAGTGTTTTTTGTGATTTGAGTGTCTGTGGCGATGGTGATTTGGTTCGGCAAAGAGTAAAGAACCATATATGATGCATATAAATCATTTACATTTATTGAGTGGCTCCAGTTCTTGCAGCTGGTTGCAAGATTGCAGCTCTGACTGCAACACTGAGGTCTTCTCTACTGAGAGTTCACTCCTACAGAAAGAAGAACACACCCAGTTTTACTCACTTGAAAGACTCACACAATGTGCTTTGTTGTGGTGAAACAATACCTGAAAAGTTCCTGATCCGTAGCCGAGTCCCGACACCAACTCTCAGATCGACCTGTGGAAGTTAAAGTGTAATGAGGCTGGAGGAAGAACAGATTTGTAATCCAGCCCCTAACAGAGCGTGACATGTAAAATAATCATGGGATGTATCACCTGTGTACAGAGCACAGTCTCTGTGAGTGGGTTTCTCAGTCCAGTGCACAGTCAGGTTGTGTTCATTCGGGATGTCGCTTATCGTTCCAGGAGGAAAATCACAGATCTTAGCAGGTGTTAGGTTAAAAAATATATATAATTTACTCCGCAAGAGAAAGAGATAGATGGAACACACCCAAACCCTCATAGTGAGTCCCTGGCTCATTTCCATGCCAATGCAGCAGGCAGCGCTGGGCAGTGTGACAAAAATACATCCTTGATGGAATAGCAAAACAGTAAATTGGAGAAACCGGGCTTAAATCAATTAAATTAAGTTTGCACAGACCAGTAAATTCTATCACTGAGAGAGCATTACGCGTTTGGAATTAAGTTAAAAAAGAAAACAGAATTAAAATACACATTTTAAGATAAAATAATCAGATAATGCTGAATATACATCCTGGGGGAGTCACCAGAATGAAAAGTGTCTCCGCTGTACCTGCGCTCATCAATATGATAATAACATGGGATTATAAATGAACATAAATATGGATGACTCAATAAAGATGAAATCATGATCTAATATGTACAGTTGCAAGAAAAAGTATGTGAACCCTTTGGAATTACCTGGATTTCTGCATAACATTGGTCATAAAATGCGTTCTGATCTGCACGTTTGAAGTTTGCAAAAGAGCACCTGGATGTTCTGATATTCTGTGGACAGATGAAACCAAAGTTGAGTTGTTTGGAAGGAACACACAACGCTATGTGTGGAGAAAAAAAGGCACAGCACACCAACATCAAAACCTCATCCCAACTGTGAAGTATGGTGGAGGGAGCATCATGGTTTGGGGCTGCTTTGCTGCCTCAGGGCCTGGACAGATTGCCATCATCGACGGAAAAATGAATTCTCAAGTTCATCAAGACATTTTGCTGGAGAACTTAAGGCCATCTGTCCACCAATTGAAGCTCAACAGAAGATGGGTGATGCAACAGGACAACGACCCAAAGCATAGAAGTAAATCAACAACAGAATGGCTTCAACAGAAGAAAATACGCCTTCTGGAGTGGCCCAGTCAGAGTCCGTACCTCAACCCAATTGAGATGCTGTGGCATGACCTCAAGAGCGCTATTAGCTTTTTCTGATGCGTAAACATCAACAATATTTGACGCCATTTTTCGTTGTGAACTCTCGCTGGCTGCGCGCATTGGCTGTCGATCCGGACGGCAGCAGGGAGCCAGACAGCGGCAGCCGGGAACCACACGTGACGTCACGAAATTGCCTGCTTCCAGAAGCAAAGTTTTTTTATTGGACCTAATATTTTTCCTTTTTTTACATATTATTCAGTATGAAATAAAGAAACATACATTGACTATCTGTTGCATACACCCCCCAGAAATCAACTGCCAAAAAAAGTTTTTCATGTAAGATAAGGACTTTAAGCAGACTGTGTTTGTCTATTGTTGTGACTCAGATGAAGATCAGAACACATTTTATGACCAATTTATAGAGAAATCCAGGTAGTTCCAAAGGGTTCACATACTTTTTCTTGCAACTGTATATAATAACAGCTTCTTGGCTCGCATGTTAACAGATCAATTTCCAGGACAGCTGAGCATGCTGAGTTGGGTGTTTTTCTACAAATATTCACAACACCCACTATTCTAAATTCTTTAAAAATATGTTTTTTCTAAAAGACACAATTATAATAGTCTTTAGTTTAATGCTGTCTAGTCAATTTGACCTGTTTGAAATGAAGCTACAGTTTATGGCGAGCCTCCTTCACAGGATGCTCAATCAGAGTTATTTTCTTCTGACTGCATCTTTATAAGCGCTCTTTGAGACCAAATGTGGTTTCATCTGTGTCACTGTGCCCTGACAACGTAGAAAAGCTTTAAAAGCCAGGACGAGAGGTGCTACTGCACTCACAGTGACATTAGCAGGTTAAAAAAGAGATCAATGATCTCAAGGGATACACCTGGATAAATAAAGGTTTGAAATTTGAAATGAAATGAATTCCTTCCTTGGTGATCAAACTTGTTCCCCTTCTCATTTCACACATACCACATGGTTTTATCAGCATGCTGGATGTAAAGATAAAGTATATCTTATCTTAAAGAATAATGAGAACAGAATGTTAAACTGGTTTACTGCTCAATCAGCAGCATGCAGTGACAGTCAAATATAATGTCTGGGTCATGACCAGCCAATGGAAAAGGATACCCAGACCGGGCTGTGTTTAAAGCGCGGGTGGACGCTCCTCCACTCCACTCTCTGGGGCAAACCGTCCAGGACCAGCAGCAGGCCGCAAGCCTGCGCCTAACAGAGCGGAGGGAAGAAGACAGGTGGCTCAGATAACCATGGAGACTATATCAAAGTCTCCTTTATTTGATTCTGCTACACATCAAAAATAAAAAAATGCAAAAAGAACAAATTTGGCCATATGAAAGAGTTGCTCAAGGGGTCGAGAGAGGCTAGAGAGGACATAAGAAGTCACTTAACATGTAATGTTATTGGAAACATGTGGAAATATGTATGAAGTGAAGATACTCACATTGACGGGCCCAGAGAAGGCGACTGCCACTCTCTCTTCATCCCGACACACATACACACAGCTTATCATCTCTTCACGTTCAGCTGTTAAAAAGAAAAAACATTGTTCGTACAAATTATATTATTGTATTATAGTACAGTAAATATTTCACTCACAAAAAAACGTTATGTACTTCATATATACTGTATGTGCATATGAAAAACAAATGCCAATTAACATACCTCTGCCTAGCAACCAGCGATAGTAGAACCAAGCACTCTGGTCGTTGGGGTCGGTGAAGAAAGCATTTTGTACAAGCTCATACTCTGAAAACAAAATGGGCGTATTAAGATGCTTCCTGTTACATGCTTAATGAGTTGTATTTAAAACAGAAGTAATTTTGCAATATTTATTTTTGTAAAAGTTCTATAATTTACAGCCAATGTGAAGCCTTAGTCTGCCCCCTGTTGGTTGTTAGTAGGTATTGCTGACTTCAAACCCTTGCCATTCACTTGCAAAATTGTTGTTAGGTTCACCTTTCAGGAGCTGCTCTTCACAGACGCGGTGGGAGAGGATTTGGGGAGATGGCGGAGTGGAGGATTGGGGGGGCTTGTGGCACGGTGATGTGGGCTCAGGGGATTCTGGGTGGAGCAGCGGCAGCAGGGTGCTGCGGTAATGCCAGCTGGAGTAGTTGGAGAAGTTGGAGCCAATCAAACGATCGGTGAAGTCCAACTCCTGATCCACGGGCACACCGGACATCTTCACAACCATCCGGCGGTAATCCCAGCAATGGACTGGTCAAATAAGGTGTGAGACATAGATGGAAAGAGTGCAGGTTAATATCAGGCTTTGATAAATAAAAATAAAAAGCTCAATTAACCAGATTTTAACAATGTCGTCATCCTCCTTTTGTCCTTCTTTACTCACAGTTTCGGTCGTCCAGGCTCAAGCAGCGATCACACAGGTTCAGCTCTCTGGCCCAGTCCGGTTTGGGCAGGCGGGTTGAGACCCACCAACGGTGATGCCAGCTGCCGTAGGACTTTGGGTTCACTTTGAGGCACGACTCCAGAAAAGAGAGCTCAGCCACATAAATCTTTTGCACTTCATCCTCTTCCCTGGAGCGGATATCAAGAAACAAAGACATCATTCTCCTGTCAAATCTCTGATGGCTTTCTATTCAAAACGTTTTTTTACTGTAAATATTCAGATAATAGGATACATGGCTGTGATCTCACTTCACAGTCTCCAGGTGCATTAGGATCTCTCTCCTGTAGTTCCAGAGGGTTGCAAAGTCGGGATTGGAAGACAGGAGCTGCTGGGAAATCTGCAGAGCCTCATCGTCGAAGATACCCTCCTTCCTCTGTCATACAGGGTGAAGAGAGGAAGGCAAATACAAAGCGACAGGTGGACACAGACAGGGAAAGGACATACAAGAAATTAGCAAAAAGACAAAATAAAACTGAAACTAATAATAAGGTGCTGCTTAGTGAAACTATTTAATAAGCATCACTTCTGGTTTAATGCTCTACATTGAAGTCACATGTAGTCTTTCACATAATGGATAAGGCTTTTGTCTTTCTTTATTCTTACATCTGTCTATTCTTTCTAACTTACCTATCTTTTCAGTAGCTCTCGGTCTGAAGCCCATTTCATTTTTTTAAAAGCTCAGTATTTCCCATAATAGCAATGCACTGCAGTTTTCATAAGAAGTTATTAAATCTGTCGGATGTGTTTGATTTCGTAATTCAAATGTGGTGCTCTAGTGAGTATTTACGGGAACAGGATGTTGTGTGTGAACAAAACAAAAATGCGTGCTCATGGTAATGAAGAACATGTAACCAGGTGCAATGGTGGGATGGCAAGCTATACTGGGGTTAAACTACACAGGTAGAACATTTTAAAAGGAACAATTCATTGTTGTTTTTCAGGAAAGTTGTTCAGAACAGCAATTGTATATTAAATGAATAGCCTTATCATGTCAAACATACTGTATACTACATATGATATAAATGAGGCTTTCTGAAAAACCTTGGAAAAACAGGCATCTCGTGCAGCAACGTATATCTTCAGTTTCTTCTCTCTCTCTTTTCTTTTCTCCTCTTCCTGCTGGGCTGTAGATTTAACCTTCACTCGGCCATGCTGTCAAAAGCACAGCAATGGGGAGGAAGATGAGGTAAGTAAGTACAGTTAAATATTCTAGGTTAGAGTAATGATAAATAATTGATCGCATGTACAACATAAGTGCTGTACCAAAGCAGTGAACACACAAACATGTCCAAATAAAACAAATATCTTACCATCCTTCCTGTTGGTGCTAGAGACCCAAAGATCTGTTTATGATGGAACTGCAGAGTAACATTCAGGGTTAGGCCTCAGTAACATTTACATGACAGACACACAGAGATGTGACAAACTTACACAGACGCTCAGCCGCTAGCTGATCATCTGTGTCAATATATTTAGCCCTCTATAAGGTTTAAACACTGGATATAAACAGCTATATGACTGCAGTTAGCTTGCTTATTAGCTCCGTGTTCAGTCAACAACACTGGGCTGGGCTCATTCAAACCACCACAGAATAACAGCCACCAACGACAAAATAAAATATGTTCATTACAGGAAAACACTGAACACCGCATAGTTTAACCAAAAAAACACCTACCTGTTATTGTGTTTACTTGGCTGGTTGTATGTATTTCAAAATGCAGTTTGATTTGTCATGTCAGGGTTCCTAACGACTACAATTCTTTACTTCCGTCCCATGAAAGTGACGTCAGAGAGAGTATTTTCTTGACCGCGGGCTTTTGTCGCTGTCTAGTGGAGGAAACAGTAAACAGCAAGGTAGACATGTTGAAATGTCCTGAATTTAAAGATGCGTGGACATTTATTTACACAGTGGTGTTAGTACAGTATATTAACTCAAGTACTGTACTTAAGATGTTGGGGAACTTTTACTTCACTTCACTAAATATTCACTTGAGTATTTATTAAGTTATTTCAAATTATTTGCTAAAACTAATTATAAATAAAATATGATATGTTAATTACAGGTTGAAATATCCAGCAGCAGTATATAAGGTCATTAAAAGTAGCTCCACCTTTACCAGCTGTGATAAATACAATAATGTATACAAAAATAATCCAGTTATATATATGTGACACTACGCACAGTAAGTACTTTTGGTACTTTTATATACATTTCCTAACAGGGTATTATTACACTGTAGTATTTATATTATCTGAGTACTTCTTACATCACAGCATTTACAGTTGGCCTACAGTATGTCTGCATGGTTAACCACACTTAGCTTATTATTTATCAGTTTAAAATGAACATCATTATTTGAGAAGGGTTTGAAACTAGCAATTTAGGCCAGAAACTGTCCAGGGTCATTTTATTGTGGTGGCTGTGGTAGCTCAGTAGTCGAAGTGTTTACTCAACTGTGTGTGTGTGTGTGTGTGTGTGTGTGTGTGTGTGTGTGGTTCTCTTCGTCTTGTTATAAATGTAACTGCAAAGGCGGTGTTTCATTCATAAGGAATTAAAAACATAATTAATTAATGCCGTTGAAGAATAAATTGGTATTTACACAGTTATGGTACATGATGTACTCAATCTACATCTAAACACATTATAGTTCTGACTGCATATCTAATTTGTGTAACTAATAAATTAGAGTATTGCAATCACCATGTGGCAATACATGCCAAAGATTTAATGTTTGTTTTCAAAATACAGGAGAAAAATTACATTGAGTGCTGAAGTTTATCATCTCTGTGGAGGAATTCTGTAACTGGAATACAAATATAGTCATACAGTTTAAATATTGCCAGCCCTTCACAATACATTACTTTATTGTGCCAAAATAAAGTTTTGGACACATTTGTCCATCACAATAGTCTAGCTCATCATATAACTAGATGTAATGTTGTGAAGACAGGCGTTTATGAATCACCAAGACGGACTATAGCAAATAGGGTGCAGTCTAATGATAAGAATGTTTAATTGTAAGGTGCATTTGTTATATTGTACAAATATATAAATATATATATAACGTATTACTAGTATAAACAGTAAGTCAATCAATCTGTGTAAAAAATGAAACCTAAAATAATCACATAAAACATTCAGGGGTATTCTTCTGTGTCAAACTCCAAGCAGTTGTGCGGCACCACAGATCTGTATCCGGACGTCTGAGAGAAGTTGAGGGTGAACTGGTTCTCCTCATTTGTGCCAATCTCAACTGATGCCAGCCAACCTAGGACGTCCTCAAATTGGCTGGAGGAGGTTTTCCTGTCTGTCGAAGACTCTCCTTTAACTGTAAATTAAACAAAACACAATTTGACTGTGAAGTCTTGCTCAGTGCTACTTTGAATGCTAAAAACTGAAGATCTCCTTTTTGGACTTACAGGTTGGGAACAGGTAGTCGAGGCTGCTCAGGCGAAGATCTGCCGATTTATTTTTGATGTCGTTATTCAGCCTTTCAATTTCCTGACTGATCTTTGAGTTTATGTTTTCCTCCTTGTCCTTTCCATCTTTCTTCTTCTGACCAATCCCCTTGACTTTGAGTTTGGTCCTGTCACCAACTAGGAATTATCATCAAAACAAAAGGTTAAAACAACGATATATTCACACATGAAAAAAATATTGATCATCCCCAATCGTAGCGTGATACTCACTCAGCGACTTCGATTTAGTGCCTGTTGCACTGTCTCCGATCTGAGCTTGCAGCTCTAGGAGTGTTTTCTTGAAGCTTGTCATCATCTCCAGCTCTCTCCTCTTGTACTCCTCAGCTAGTCGCTGCTTCAGCACATTTTTTAGCTGCATCCTCTTGAATTTGTCATCTATGTTTAAGTAGATTTGGCTCATCTCAGGACAGAAGAGCTGTCGGCTGTTTCCTGCCACCATCTCCTCTACCTTCTCAAACAGCTGAGTAACTTGGCTCATATCACTTTTTTTCAAGTTGTTCACAACGTGGTATCTGTTCTCACACTTGTCTATTAACCAGCGTAGCGCCTTGTGCTCGCTCTCAATGTGCTCCTCAATGGATTTATCTTCTAGTTTGTCTCCGTATGTGAATAGCACCATGGTGTGTTTCCAGACGCTGACATCAAGGAGCTTCATCTGTTCCTCCAGGGCGGCCCGCTGAGCTTCTCTGAACGTCAGGTCCAAAGGGACAACCAGCAGAACAGCATGAAAGCCTGATGGGCTCAGAGTCAGACCTCGGACTATTTCTTTGTCCATCTCTTCTGTGGATTTGGAGGGATCCTTCCACCACCCCGGGGTGTCGACCACTGTGACCGCTCTGCCATCAACTTCCCCTTGCTCCACCTGACAGAACTCATTCTGACAGGTGGGAAACACTTCTCTACGTAGGAGGGTATTTCCTGTTGCGCTCTTTCCAAATGTCTTCTGACCAAGCATCAGAAAAGTCAGCGCATGTAATTCTTTACTGGATTCTGAGAAGAAAAGAAATGCAGGCTAAAAACCACATGCACACAAGACTAATCAACAGATTTGTTCCTGTATCAGAAATCAGTAGCCCTGCAGTAAACAGTAATGTGGCAACATTTAGAAATGGCTCTAATTTAGATGACTTGGAGTCCATCACACTACAGCACATTTTTTAGCTAAAGGTGCTCCCAGCAGTGACCTGAATGCTAAGGCCAGCATGCTAACATGCTAACAACAATGCCTCAGTATTGGATCTCTGTAATTGTGTCCACCCCTGGTTTCTACTCACTCTCTGAGTGTGGAAACTTCTCTGACAGTGAACCTTACCTTTGCGCAATCTTCTTTGGGCCTCAACTTGACTTTGCCTCAGTTTTGCTCCTTCTTTCACTTTCATTCTCTTCTCTTCAATGGCATCAAATATCTTCTCATCTGGGACAAAATGGTCACAACCATTTCCAGCCAAGGTCTCAGTGATTTTTTTCAGGAGCTCTGTGATTTGGGTACCATCATCTGTATTCTTGTTATCAATGACATGATATCTGTTTCCACATTGTTCAACCAGCGACTGCAACGCCTCTCCCTCCCCTTCGATATACTCTTCTATGGTGTGTGTTCCCAGCCAGTCTCCTCTGGTGAAAACTACAATAGTGTGTCTCCACACTTCTTCTCCGAGGAGCTCCATGTGTGATGTCACGGCATCTAAGTGTTTTCCATTGAAGGATGCATCTGCGTCTATCACCAGCAGGAAGACCTGAGGCCCAGGGAGGCACAGGGACGGGCTGCGTATCACTTCTTCTTTGATCGCTTCAGGGGTGTCACACTCAGGGAAGCCTTTCCACCAACCTGGAGTGTCAACAAGGGTTATTTCAGTTTCACCCACAAAACCCTGTCGGCCCACCGAGTGTGCCGTTCTTTTTCCATCTTCTTGCACTTTGATTCCCAAAATGGTGTTCCCTACTGAGGTTTTCCCAACGCCTCGGCTTCCCAAGAGAACCATCCGGAGTTTAGGGATGGTTTTCATCTCTTCTGTTTGAGAAAAACAAAGATTATTGAACTTTCACAGCTACTTAAAAAACGGTCATAGAGAGATTTATACTAGGATTTGATTTTTCAAAATATGTATTAACAAAATCCATCAATAAATTGATTACAAGTGATAAAATTAGGCAAATACAGGAAAATGAAATACAGAAAGTATTTGTTCGAGTGGACAAACAGTGATATTAACCTGCAATGAGTGCTCTCATCTGTTGTCTTTGTTCTTCGGACCGCCTCTCTCTCTGTTTTGCCCTTTCAGCCACTTCTCGATGTTTCTTTTCAATGATGTTTAAGGTCTGCTCGTCTACCTCGTAGAACCTGCCTTTGTTTTGCCACACCATCTCATCTACCTTCTCCAGCAGCCGTGTCACCTGAGATAAACTACTCTTATCCTTGTTCTCAAACACATGGTACCTGTTCTTGCATCTTTCTATTAACCACATGAGTGACTCTCCTTCACTCTCTATGTGCTGCTCTATGGTCTTCCCCCCCAGGTAATTCCCACAGGTGAACAGCACCATGGTGTGTTTCCAAACCCGCTCTCCCAGTAGCTTCATGTGCTCCTCCACGGTCTTCTTCGTCATCGCAGAAAAAGCAGTGTCAATGGGAATAACAAGGAGAAAAGTATTTGGTCCGGGCGGACATTTGGATGCGTTGAGTTTAAATCGTTGCTTGTCCCCCTCTGGGATCTCAGAGAGGGAGAGGGAGCTGCTCCATCCTGGAACATCGACCACGATGAGCTCCCTGCCCTCGACCACTTCATGCCTCATTTCAGACTGAGCCGTTCTGGTTCGGCCACACTCAAACCTGTCATTTCTCAGTATGGTGTTGCCAGAGGAGCTCTTGCCCGCCCATCTTTCACCAATCAGGACGAGTCTGACCTCAGACAGGGTGATGCTCTCTCTCTCCACTGAAAGACAAAGGATATGTTTTTGGACAAGAAGTAATGAAATAGAGAAAGAAGATTTGACAAAATGTATCATTTTTGATTTATTTGTGAAACATCTTCCCAGGCTTGATGATAATGCATTTGGTGATGATCGAATTGGCTTAAAAACATTCACAAATGTATGACAGCAGATTTCCTCACACTGAGTGGGAGAACAGATCATTTTCGATTAAAAAATAACCAAAACCAGACAGAAAAGGTTATCAGAGCAGGTGTCTTTGCAAGTTTCAATTCAATTCAAGTTTATTTATATAGCCCAAAATCATAAATCCTATTTGTCTCAGAGGGCTTCACAAGTCAACAAACACAATTGGCAATGTATCTTTGCTGCTTTAGATGACTGAACAAAGAGGAATTATCTGATGAACTCGTGCTTGTGTTGTTTGTCAGGGACTTNACACACACACACACACACACACACACACACACACACACACACACACACACACACACACACACACAGACACAGTGAAACCTACACTAGAGTCCGTTTTTCAACATAATTTATGGCTGTCAAGGATAGAAAAGGCAACAGAGTGACTTTGCATTCCTGTCCAAATCATTTCCATTAGCCCTATCCTGATTCTGGCTTGTGCACATAATTTTAATTTAGCACTGTCTGAAAATCACAGCTGCAGACTTAACAGCAACCCAGTCAAATGTATTACCCTGCAAAACTATCTGAGAGACAGATATCTGCATCAAATGATAGAGTACAGCTTTGGCTCGAAGTCAGCACTTCTCTGGGAGCTGTTGCAGACATTTTCTACTGTCCACCAGTAGAAGATTTTCTTTAATCGAATATAAAATATATCTATTTGTATTATTCCCAGTGGATGCCAGTCAAGTGCAGCCATTCACTGGATTAAAAAGAGGCAGGTGTGTGTAAATCAGATTCAGGTTTTATCTGCGATACTCACCCAGCAGTGAGGAGGTTAGGAGGATGTTCATTCTGTCACCTGTCCGAAATCTGAAGTGCAGTTCCGATGTGACTTCATAAAAAGTACAAAAATAATGATTTCTTAAAATACTGTTTGTTTCAGAAGTTCATGGTCAGTTTTTCCAAAGGCATTTTTATTTTAGAGTCTTTGAGACCGAAAATAATAGTCTCTCTTCTGGGGAGTTTTGACTGATTATCAAAGTAAACCACAGACAGAGATGGTCATCTTGGTGGAGCCATTTCCTTCCTCTGGCTAGCTGTTAACAGGCGGAGCCATTAGACAACAAAACCAGGGTCAGGCGCAAAAGTAGAGATGTATGATCCCAAACTGCAATAAAACCAATTTACCTTTGTCATGCAGTTTTACAGTTTCTTTGTAAAGAAGGTCTGCCTCTCTGATATCTCTGTAATCCAATCATGTGTTCCACAAACAGTAAATGTGACTTGCTAATTACTTTAGTATCGTATTATGCTGCTATACTGTACATCCTGCTTGGAGCCTGAGACTAAAGATTGTCATTGACAGACTTTATGTCAATTGTTATGCATATTAGAAATAAAGAAGTTGAACTGCTTTCCAATACTTGGAGCTGATGCCCATTTTTGTGTTCAGGGTGCTTTTTAACTTAATTTAGTTGAGTTCAATCAACTACAATTAGATTAACCTTAGATACACAAGTGACTGGAAAAAAATCACTTGTATAATATTTAGTATTATATTTTGGTTCACACTAGAAATATTTTATATTAAATGTTTCACTATTTTGAATTTTTGAATTTTTTTTTACATTTTGAAAATGTATGCATGCTGTTCATTTTTGACCCACTTATGGAAGCTTGGGGCAGTAATACAAAAACTGCCTAATGTCTTAAAATGTATAAACTTTAAATAAAACATTTGAATGGCATGATATCCAAAACATGTTTTTTGAGGAATAGCTGGAGTTTCCAAATGATATACTCTATTTACTTTGTGAATTTCCTGGCATGAGGTTAAAATATTTTTTAATGAGTCACAACAACAATTGGATGGAGGGTCATGACATTTTGTACATTTATTTAAAAGAATAATGCAGGCCATACGATTGATACATGTTGTTCATTATATTTAAATACAAACACAGCATCTGCCTTATTTAGTTTATCGCTGTTTCTTGCACTTTTTGAATTCAAAACACAGTGAATTGTCAATGAATTTCTCTCATTTCTGTTAGGGCTCTGTGCTTTTTCCCAGGTAACCACAGCTTCCTCATTATCGCTCGGATCCCCGCCCACTCCTCCTCACTCTGCCCCTCCCTCCACCTCCCGTCGCTCCCACATCCAGCCTCCCTACAGTCACAGGGTTTCTTCCAGGAAGCGCGTCGGGCAGTCGGATGCTCTGCTGGAATGCCTGGGAGAGAGACCATTCTCTTTGTCAATTTCTGAGAGAGAGAGAGAGAGAGAGAGAGAGAGAGAGAGAGAGAGAGAGAGAGAGAGAGAGAGAGAGAGAGAGAGAGAGAGAGAGAGAGAGAGAGAAGGAGAGGAGGAGAGGAGGAGGGGTTGCAATAGGAGAGAGGATCAGACATGGCTTCTAAAGAGATCACTGCTTTTGGTTTCGTGAGTGTGAGCAAAGAAATCACAGGTGGGTAACGACTGCTGCCCGGTTATTTTGGCTCCGTGTTGTGTCTTGTTGCAGGTTGTAACCGCGGACACCCTCGGCGTGTCTGCGTTATGTTGGGATGCTTTTTCTCCGCGCGTCTGCAAACCGAGCAGACGCATTGGAGGATAGTGAGGAGCTACACCTTTACATTCCGTCCTGTGGCTTTCCGGGCCGGCTTTGTCCTTCATGGTGCAATCAGTTATTGTGCAGATGAATAATTTACAGTGAAGGGGAACTATAGCTTGTTTTACATGTGCCCCCTCGGGGAAAAACAGGTATTGAAAAGCCCAGCCTTAGGCCAGAGAGGAAAAGGGGCGTTGTGGGAATTGTGGTGTGTACTCTTGGGTTTCAAAGCGATTTAAATGTTGCACGTTTTTTTTGTTTTTTTTTTACCAAGAAACCTGTCTCAGAATAGGATTCCCTCTGTAAACCTAACCCCTGGAGCGTTTTGTCTTTGTTTTTCTGCTGCCTAATCAGCTAGAGTGCTATAGGCTAGTAATTGCGTGCGTGTGTGCGTGCGAAAGTGAACAGAGAGGGACTGATGGAGGCAGATGTTCACTGTATCTTGCCAACAAAAATGCATAAGCTAAACCAACCCGCGACAGAATGCACAAATATTTAGGATTTTTATCTCAAACAGCAACAGCTTACACATGCCAAAGTCACAGCACAGCAACGCACGCACACACTGAACACATGCTCGTGGGTATCAATGACTCTACTGCTGCGTTAATTACTCCTAATGGCTCTATTAGGCGCACTGTGATGATGATTAATCCACTGGGGTCCATGCCCCCTCCTTCAGTCACCTGCCGGGCGGCTGCACCTCCTCCTCGTGCACCAACTGCACTGACTGACAGGAGGAGCACTGATGGGGGCCCTAAACAACCTGAATATGATCTGAGTTCAGATCTGGATGGATTATTATTAGAGTGTAGCCTTTATTCCGTTTCAGATTGAATCAGATTAACTGTATTAACTAATCTTGTGGTCCTGTCATTTTACAGCAAATGTATTTTCTTTTTTAGGCTCGGAGAGTACGCCCAATCTGTCTTGTAACATACCACCTAGATAATACTGTAATATACTTTTGAAAAGAGGAAAGGTATTCTTATTTTTACTTATGATCCAAAAGAAGAAATACTACAATAACTTTTTTTTTAATCAAAGTCATAACTTCAAAAAGTACAAGAGTGTTAATGTATTGTGTGTCAAATATGTTTCCATTTTTGTAGCACAATGGACCCTGTCAGTGTCTATAATATGAGATTATAAGATTATTATCAATGTTATATTTTGTTTTGTAAAATCTTCTTCTGTAAAGTAAGTATTAGACAAATGTATAGAGTAGGAGGTTTAATAAGAGTTATGTGCACCTAAAGATGGATAAACACTGCTGAAACAAGGGGAAAAGTAGCCTTTCTCTCCAGTGTGACTGTATCAACACCACTAACAAAGCCCAGCGTCTTGGCTTTAGTATTGATTTTCTCATAAACCCATCAGTCTGGAAAGCTGTGTGTAGCCTCAGTAATGGAGAGGCTGAATCATATAATTCCTGCTAGCGACTATATGTGTCTGTGATGTGTCACTGCTGTGTGGTCCCACCCGGGTGAGACTCTTCCCGTGGCACGACAGGCAGTGCTTGTGCCGTATAGGTTAGGGGTCACAGCACTGACAGTGATGTTGTTTGACAGGAACAGCTCTCAGTGAATCATAAACACTGTTACTCCTATGTGTCATTTGCTCTCATAGGAAGAAAATGACACTAAAGCATGTTGTGAATAGTTTTGATAGAAATAGAGTATATCTGTGAATGCACTGGGCAGAACTCATTGAGTGATACAGAGGAACATAACTGTTGTATTTCTTAAATCAATCTTTGTGTCAGCCATACAATTCAGACTTGTTCCCACCAAATGTCGGTCATTTTTGATTCAGAGTAACATGCAGATTGAATTGTATTGCATGGAAGAGGTTTGTAACGTATTTAAAATCATCAGGATCAAATCAGACACAAGAGTTAATTCGATTATTGTATCATCTGAAATGCCACAATGCTGTTCAAATTATAAGATTGACATTTCCTTTAGATAAACAAATAAATACAGAGGTCTACATTCGAGGTTAAGGGGATTTAGAAAATGCAGTTTGACTTTTACTGATTTGATTTGATGTGACATTTCCAAATTGGTCATTTGGATGCTTTTGAACTATTTTTGGAGCATTGAATGGCTTTTATTAGAAGTTTGACTGTATCAAGATGACAGGAAATGAGCTAAAGATAAATGGGGAATAATATTCATCCACATCACTGGCCGGTCTCCAACCAGATACATTGCAGCTAATGGTCAGTAACTTAATACCTGAAACACTGCCGTGCCCCTGTTTGACACCATATACAATATGTTGTAGTGTTTTTAAAGTTTTTTTCACTTTACTTGGAAATCAATTATGA